TTGATAGCTTGACTATCACTAGTGTTTCATCTTTTTATTCTTGATGAATGTATTTTATTCTCCTTATGTATACTGAGAGTGTATGCATCAACACTGGAAGTATTTAAGAAGATGTTGGATAGCCATCTGTCTGAAATGCTATAGGGTTTCCTGCCTAGACAGGGGGTTGGACTAGAAGACCTCTAAGGTCCCTTCCAACTCTGCTATTGTATTATACTGTATTGTATTAAGTTCGGGTCTCACAGGTTCAAGGTTGACTTAGCTTTCCATCCTTCCGAGTTGGTAAAATGAGGACACAGATTTTTGAGGGCAATCTGCCGACTCTGTAAGCCACTTAGAAAGGGCCGTAAAGCACTGTCAAGTGGTATATAAGTCTAAGTGCTATTGCTATTGCTACAAGGATTGGTGATGTCTCAATTGCAAAAGTCATGATAGAAAGAAATTCATTTCTGCCAGGTGGTGCATAGGAGGACAAATGTGTGCACAATAAAATTGAAATGAAATGGTTTCCCCCCCCCATTAAATGCTGAAATGTGGCAAAATTGACTTTTTTCACTACTAAATTAAAACTACAGTACCTCAAATCAAGATTGTCGTCTGGGTACTTCCTATAGTGTAGATATATATAACAGGACAGGGGGAAACAAAAAAGAAGACATCCTACTCTGAAACTATCCTTTATATCTATCGGTGCTGGAATAGGACTAAAATAACCTAGATTCAAAAGCTCACTCAGAAAGATAGCTCATAACTTTGGACCAGTCTTTGGATTGATTTAGGTCTCATGATTATTATTCATAAGAGACAAAAAAAATTAGGAAGCGCAACCTTAGATCGCATGGACTTGTTTAGGAGTCAGAGATAGATTTAAAGGAAAACCCAGGCAGGAGGATGGGAAGAGATGAAAGCCATCTTGAGTTCTCAGAGAACAAGCAGAATATAAATGCAATACATAGAGCAAACAAAGCAAGAACTACAGAGAGAGGTTTCAAATGACATGATTTCCTTGTAGTTGTGCCATAAAAATATTTGTTCCAAATAACATGAGTTATTTAAAGGCAAACCCAGGCAGGAGGATGGGAAGAGATTAAAGCCATCTTGAGTTCTCAGACAACAAGCAGAATATAAATGCAATACATAGGGCAAACAAAGCAAGAACTACAGAGAGAGGTTTCAAATGACGTGATTTTGTTGTGCTCGTGCCATAAAAATATTTGTTCCAAATAACATCAGTTATTTGGAACAAATATTTCCCATTCACAATCTGAGATGAGATGGTTGCCTAATGATCCTATATACAGAGTATATATATTCTGACAATTTGTGGGGAAAGAGAATAGAGATCAAGGATGTTAGGGAATCAAGACTGTCAGTATTTTAAAGGAACATTCAAGTGTGAAAGATACTGTGCCCACACTTGAATCCATTCACACAGAAGTTAACCTTCATTTATTTGAAATAAACATGTTTACAATGGCCTCTTCCATTGCCGCTGTAAGATGAAACTTAAATAGTTGTTTAAAATAAGCTTTGCTTGCTTGTACTTCCCTGCTGTTTCACCAGTTAATTGGAATTAATTTCCCTTTAATAGAAATTGCTGAAAATGGAGAATTTTTTCTTCTTATATTCAACACTATAAAAATGTCAGAGTAACACAACATGCCACTTAGATTTTTGACAATCTGTTTACCTGTTGTTTCTTATATCGCCTGGAAACAAAGCCCAACAGTTTGGAATAAGATGTCTCACTGAAAAAAGCTGCTCCTTCTATGGTTTTTCTTTTGGATCCCCTGAAATAGTAAGTCTTTAATACTGACAGAGATAAACTCTTTTAGCCATGGGATTCATAATCTAAGTTATGCATGACAGGATAAAGGGGGGAAAATAGCTAATTGTGAAATCTGCCTATACTTATCTGAGAATATTATCATCATTGTGTCTGTTAAAATATTTTTCTAGGTAGAAAGATCAGTTAATGTTGAATGATTTGACGTGTTTGGAAAAACTGGCCATATAAATGATAACAAAGCCAGCAAGCATGGATACTTGCAGAGAGAAAATGATCTGATCATTCTGTCCGGATGCTACAGAAATAAATTACACAATCTTTATCAATTGCACGATGATATCAGAGTATATAGGATATAATTGTGGATCCATACCTCACAGAGCTGGTGCAGAGCTGCTGCCCTAGCAATATTTTGAAGAATTTATTTTTCTCAGTTTGCAATAGCATAAGGCAGAGTTCAAAATCCTTAACCAAGGCTACGGTATATGCAAAATATATTTAAATTGGGATATAAAGAGGGGCTGCCTTTGGGAACATACTGAGCTGATTAGTTGATTTCAGAAATGATTAACTTACATAAAATCTGGTTGCAAGGGTACTCCAAACTTTCTGTGTTTTAGCAGTTAAAATGTCATAATTGGCACTTTTAGATCATTGGGAAATAAGCCCTTCCACACTTACTGAAAAATCTTTCTATGTGACTTCTCCCAAAGTGCAGAATCTGTTAGTAAAATATAAATTACAGTTTCTGTAGATAGGGTGAAAACAGAATTAATACATTATATATGTATTATGGGAAGCGCCCCCCCCCCNATACTTAAATACAATGAAATTATGTTTGGTCTGGACATTTCCCCCCTATAAATAAATACCCAGGCAATATAGGGTTATCAACTAGTATTCCATAAAACATAGTGAGGCTTGCTGGTAGTTACATACAGTATATATAATAGGGATACAACAACTTTAGGTCTCAGGACATCAGCCATCCAAACCCCGCTAAAACTACCAACTTGTAATGTATAATGTTAAAATGGGTATTCTTTTAATTAATGCACATTAAATGTAATACATTTAATTACTTGAATTTTAATTATATTTACTTAGTTCCCCCACCCAATCCCATCTACTGTTGTGTGTCCTCCAGAATATCATTCAAAGTTGAAGGTGGTTTTCAGCCTGAAAAATATTGTGCAGCCCTGCTGTTTCTATAATTGCAGCCAAAGTGTATCTTAACCTAATGGGTAGAACAGTAAGACTGTAGATGGAAGACTTCCCGGTGCATAAACGTCAGCAATTGATTTTCATCAAGCCGTGTCATTTCAAATAATTTAGTTTGCAGATAATATCATTTCTTTTAAATCTTTGAAATTGATGGGAAGGAATGTTAGAGCTTGAAGAGTTGTGCAGATGTTACTTAATCTTATTGTTTTTGTGATGAAATGTAATAGGCTGGATTCCCAGGTGGCAGAGGGTGCATTCCAGAGGAAAAAAGAGACAACTCAGTCCAGATATTTTGTTAGAGAAAGCAGGTGAAAATAGCCTCTCTCAAATAGTTCTCTGAATGTCTGGTGGATGTTGATAATAGAGTGCTTAGACTGACAAGACTCTGTAGGTATGCAAACAATAAATAACTCAGCGTGGAAGAATCATCAGATATCAGTTTTTTCTATGGGGGTCTAACTATATATTTATATGTGTGAATGGGTGTATGCATACAGATGATATAGGATAAATTTCATGCCTCTGGTAAAGTAGACTTTAATTCTAGTATATGTTAGGAGGATCCTTGCAGAATTATGTCATGTACATGAGTTGTACCCTTTTCTGTATGAGGAGCTATTGTACGTTATAACAGAGTCACCTTGATGAGATGGGCGGCATAGAAGTCTAAACAATATAAAATAAAAATAATTTATGCTTTTGTCATCTCATGGCTGAATATTGTAATATGCTCTTCATGGCTCAACACTTGACTATCTTTGAAAATACTACTTTCACAGGTTGAATGTGCCCATGCGATAATAGGTGGGAGAGAAATTTTATTAAGGGTCCCTTCAGAGGGTCTCTTGAAGATATGGATATTCAGAAAATGTTTGGGGACAATGAAAATTAACCTACTTATTCTGAATAAGACATCGTCTAGATGTCTGCTGGTATATTTTGACAGCAATTAAATTTCTATTGCTGGTCATAAGCCACTCAGAGCCATTAGAAACTATAGAAATTCCAGTACATAAATAAAATTAATAAAATATTTTATTTTATTTTATAAAAAAGGCTATTTCTAATGTAGTTCTCCATTATAAATATTTTTCTCTTCAAAAATAAACTTACCAGAGGTAATGTTGTAGGACGATCAGCTCTGAAACTACTTTCTAGGGGAGAAGGATTAGGACTGTTGCCAACACTCACATCCTGAAATGTGCAATTTTAAAATTTACACAATTGGAGTAGGATTAACTAAGTAATATCAGAAATAGTCACAGATATACAGGTAGAACTTGCTTAACCACTGCCCTGCTTAGCAACTGTTCAGGATTATGACATGGTGCTGAAAAAGTAACTATCTTTCCTATTACCTACTTCTATTGGTATCTTATGACTATGTAACTTTTTTACTTGCATGTATACTGAGAGTTTATCTAACTTCCTTGTATGTCCAATCACACTTGGCCAATAAAGAATATTCTATTCTATTCTATTCCATTCCATTCCATTCCCCACTTCACTCTCCACTCCACTGATTTGTCCTCACACGTATGATTTACAGATCTGAAGAAAATTTTGCTTACCTCTAGATGACTGCAAACAGATTTTAACAGTTTGTAAACAGTGTCTCTGGACAGAAAAGAGACGAACATGTACTGTAAAGAAAACCACCAACAAATATAATTTAAAACCAGGAAAAACTAGTAGAGCTTGCCTATCCTATTATTCTTACTAAAGTATATCCCATTAATTATTACTTAAGAATCTGAGGCATCTACATACCACATGCAATCCCATGTACTCAGCTGACTTTTAATCATCTGCTTTTCATAAATGAAGTTTACAAGAGGCTCTCTAAACTATTACTTTGTGCCAAGGCTTTCATCAAGTTACCACATTTATGCCTGAGCAAGATCAGTTTCAACATGATATATTAAGAATCCTTTATCTATTTATTATGTAATCACACACTCAGTGCCACTTCCCATATTTGGGAACGATACTCTGAAAAAGTGCAGAACATAAGAGAATAACTGTAAAAGAGGAATATACGATTTCTAGTTCATATTTTTATTCAATTTTTATTCCCAATTATATTCCCAGAAACAGGGATAAAGAAATTCAAACAACCACCATAACAAAATTATGTGGTAAATAAAATGTGAACTTACCCTATCTGAGACTGTAGCTATAATGAGAGCATTTGGCACTAAAATGGCAGTTTTAGTCTTCTTTATTAGTGTTACAGATAACACAGGTATAGTAATCTAAAATGAAAGCATAATAATTGTTACAACATGAAGATGTCAACTGAGCCAACAATATTGATTGGTTATGCAGCAGAACCCATGCAAAGAAGTGAATACTGGTTTTTATAATGTAATTTCTGCTGTGAGGATACCTAGATACTTTCAGATAAAGCCATTTTTTTAAGATTTAAGATAATTTGAGTGCCAATTTGAATGCAAAAGGCCTGCAAACTACTTTTGATATGCATTGCGTTTTGGTATTTATCATTTAAAACTATACATACATACATACATACATACATACATACATACATACATACATACATACATACATAACACAGTTCCACTACATTGTGTTCTGACCTCTATTTAACCCAAAAATAGTTACAACAATGCTAATTATTAGGGAATGGAAGCAGATTGATTAAAAATGTCATAAAAAGGAATGGTTGGCAAAATTCTTTATAATTAAGCAGTTTTCTAATGCTGCAAAATATTCAACTAAATCTCATTTCGATTATATCCAGCTGGGAAGCACTCCATGTATTTGTTTTCTTCCTGACAATGTTATAATCAAAAAATAGTTCAAAAATTTGCCGTGAAGGAAAGGATTTTTAAAAATGAAATTAGCTGAGCACTTCTTTGAGAATAAAATCACACTGGAGAAACTTTGCTTACAAGTAAAGATGCAAATTGCATCTTCACATAATGCTAAGGAAGAATCTAACTATAGTTTGTTATAAAGCAAGAAACGCACATTATTGTTGGGAGTTCAGGCTGAACATCTTAAATTGCATCCTGTTCCAGGGCTAGTGAAATTTGATTTATGAATGAAGTTTTAAAGCCTGCTGCTTTCTTATGGTTTTGCCTATACAAAGTGGGAATTTACCATTGAAATTATTGGTCAAATAGCCAATAGAAATAATTTCACTGTAATACTTTGAAGAGCTCACATGCTATAAAGGTGTCTGATTTTCTACTTATATAGTGCATATGACAGATAGCAGTGGTCCCCAACCTTTTCAGCTCAGCAGAACGGGGGAGGTGGCAGCTGGGGAAGAGAGGGGATGGTTTTGCACATATNACAAGATGACATGAACAGTCATATTTCTAAAGCAGAAAGATGCAATGTTGAGTGAAACAACATTTGAGGAAATGAGTTCAGCAGAAAAGTTACTGTTTGTTTGAGTAAATTCTGCTCAATTTATTGCTTAACAGGTGAAAACTATACTGCTCAATTTGACATGCCTTTTCAGAATTAAGCACCCTTAAGTACGTATGTACATACCAGATGCAAACATACAAATACTTACCTGGAAAAAAAATCCTATCAGTGAGATTTACTGTTGAATAAATATGTTTAGGTTTGTATTGCCTGTTTTACTTCATATTAATCCTAAGGCGTGACATTTATTTTGCCTTTGGATTCGGACTTCCCCTACTAAGGATCCCTGAAAATACGCATTCAAATGTTTAATTATTATGCCTCCACTCCCAATTTGTACACTTTACTATCAGGAAGACTACCCGTTATTTTCCCCTGTAGTCATATAGTACAAATATATTATGTTTATTTTGGCCAGCAGAAATAATAGCTTAGGACTTATGTAATCCTCTCCTTTGCTTCTTCTTTGTTCTAAACTACAGTGTACAAAAGATTGCTTTAAAGATGAAAAATACATAAATGCCTGGGCTTCAAAGGATACTGTATATTCATAAGAATTTATTTTTTGCCTATAATCATTCTATTGGAGGAGAAAAACTGACAGAAATTCAGGCTAGACCCTTCCATGTAAATATGAAACTATAGTGTAAAATAAGCTGAAACCTGAACAATTTTCTTATAAGTACATGAACATAGAGGCCAGTTAAATAGAACACTTTCCCCTATTTCATAGCTTCTTTTATTATAGAAATACCGTAGGTTTTTTTTTTTTTGTTAGGCTATCCTTATTACTTTGGTAGACTGAAATCTTAACTGATACAAAATATGGATGCCTTTATTATAGGCCTGTCAAATTGGCAGCCTGCAGGCCAGATACGTCACATGTAGGCCATACCCACCCCCATTCCACAAAGGCAAAAAACATCATATGTCATGATCCTGCTCGTGATACGTTCAAGTTTAATATCTGTGCCTTAGTATCTAAGTATCTATTAATCTGGTGAATTGAGGCTTATCTGAAATATAATGAAGATTGTGGCTGTGGCTGCGTCTTGTCACAATCTTGTTTTAGTAATCTGGGAAACTTCAACTAAGCTTACTATTTCACCTTGAACTATTAAATTACAGATACCTGGCTTAGAACACACTAGGACTTTAACTTTTTAAAGCCACTTATTATATGCTATCAAGGACAACTGAGATAAGAAGGTTGAGTACAAATTTGACAATTGTGAGCAGATCTTTATTTTGTATATTTGCCCTGAACAGTCCTTATTAGGCCCTATATTCCTACATAGCACCTTTAGTGAACTTTAGACCAGTTATTAAGTGATAATGATTAATTTTTTTAATGTCATCTGTTGAAGGACAAATGTTGTACACCTTGGTGTCCACTGATAATATTTACACTACTTATATTTTTAAAAGCGCAGTTTGGACCAGAAGTACTTCCAGTTCCAGAAGCACTTAATTTTTTAGAAGTGGTTATCAAATTTCATGAGACTAAAAATCGAACAGTATTCATAAATGCTTGTAGTCCATAAATCAACTCAAAATGCAAACTTTAAAAACTGACTGGAATAAGGAATTCATTTTATCTAAAAATTGGGGAATGTTTTAATGCCTTTAGATCTTTTATCAGACTAAAATACTCTTTTTATTCATTAGAAAAAGAATGCGTACAACACCATAGTGCTGGAGATGCAATGAAAATAATGTCTCCTGCAAACATTATGTTTTTGTGATGACCTAAAATAATTTTTGGGAATAAGTCATTAATCTGACTTTAATACAGACATTAATATTCTCAGATGTCATGTTCCTTTGAATTATATATGTGCTGGACAAAATATATGGATTTGCCATATATTCCTCATGGTTAAAAGATTTGTTCCTCAACATTAGAAAGATAATATGTGGCCTTAATCACTCAATAGACTGAAGGCTAACGTTACTTGGGAACTATGAATGAATTGCTTTCAGAATCAGACTCTGTATAGTTAATTATAATGAAATATGGTCATCTTTCTTTGTAAGGACAAGAAACAATGGATGGAAACTAATCAAGGAGAGAAGCAATCTAGAACTAAGGAGAAATTTCCTGACAGAACAATTAATCAGTGGAATGATTTGCCTCCAGAAGTTGTGGGTGTTTTAACACTGGAAATTTTAAAGAAGAGACTAGACAACCATTTGTCTGAAATGGTATAGGGTTTCATGTCTGAGCAGGGAGTTGTACCTTGTTTTCCTGAAAATAAGACCTCCCTGGATAATAAGCCCAATTGAGCTTTTGAGCTCATGCAATAAAATAAACCCTCCCTCAAAATAAGCCCTCCCCAAAAATATTTAAATGCATGTGCAGCCAGTCCCCGACATTTCCTGGGGGTGGGAAGGGGTGGGAAACATACCCCATGCATCCCACATGCACCTGCCATCCATGCGGAATGGCCTTGTGGAGGCCGCTCCTGTAACCCATAGCTACTGCGCCCCTTCTCTAAGTGGCGGCTGCAAAAAGAGCAGCAGGCTATGGCTGACAAGAGTGTGCCAGAAACAGAGACAGAACTTCTGGCCCTCTCTGGATCAGCTGATCCATGGGCCAAGGTTAAGGGCCTCCTGCACCTTCAAAATAATAAAACCTCCCCCAAAATAAGTTCAAGCGCTTATTTCGAGGGTCAAAAGAAAATAAGACTGTCTTATTTTCGGGAAAACGCGGTATTAAAAGACTTCCAAGATCCCTTCCAACTCTGTTATTCTGCCTATATGTAGCTAAATATATGGGATGCCTGTATATATGACATGATTAAAGTTTAATGGTTAAAGATTTAATTATTAAATTAGAGAAAAGAAGGATTGGGAGTGACATGATAGCTGTATTCAAATATTTGAGAGGCTGCCACAAAGAAGAGGGGGTCAGCTTATTTTCCAAAGCACCAGAAGGCAGGACAAGAAACAATGGATGGAAACTAATCAAGGAGAGAAGCAACCTGAAATTAAGGAGAAACTTCCTGAGGACAATTAACCCAGTGGAACATCTTGTCTTCAAAAGATGTAGGTGCTTCATCACTAGAAGTTTTTAGGGAAAAACTGGACAGGTCTGAAATGGTATAGTCTCCTGCTAGAACAGGGCATTGGACTATAAGACCTCCAAGGTTCCTTCCAGCTCTATTCTGATTGACATTGATAGACAAATTCCATTTGTTTGTTTTTTCTACCGGTATTTGGTTAAATAAAAACTACCATAACACCAAAGTTGTCCAGATCAGGGGTGCAAAAATCCCAATGATCCCTAAATGGCAATGCAGGAGATAAGTTTTCTGTGTCTCTTTGCTTCATCCCAATTTTTGTATCTGGTATACCTAACTAATGTAAGAAACTAAATGTATAAATATGAAGCTTGGTTTGACTTTGAAATCATTAACAGTCACATTGTATCTAGGTTAAATTAAATAATAATTTAATTTATTATTAAGTTATCCCATCATGCTAAATATTCTATATGCAGAATATAACTTCTGTTTATTAAGTAGAAAATCTATCTATCTCTCTACCTTAGAGACAAGATAAAATATAAATACATTTATAACTGCTGTAAAGATTGAAAGTTTGCCGGTTCGAATCCCGAGTGTCGCATAATGGAGTGAGCTTCCGTTACTTGTCCCAGCTTTTGCCAACCTAGCAGTTTAAAAGCGTGTAAAAAAATGCAAGTAGAAAAAATAGGAATCACATTTGGTGGGAAAGTAAAAGCACTCTGTGCGCCTTCGGCGTTTAGTCATGCCAGTCACATGACCATGGAGACGTCTTTGGACATCGCTGGCTCTTGGGCTTTGAAATGGAGGTGAGCACCGCCCC